TGGATTGTCTACTACAACCTACATCTCCTGGTACGCGATCGTCACTCGAGAACTCTTGTAAAAATAAATGTAATTTTGTTGGTTTGGAAAATAAATTATTAAAAGTTTGAATACTACAATTACCAAAGTAGTGGTAAAATCTGGTACCACTACTTTAGTCAATATATATACTTCTTAATAATATCAAGTGACGGGACGAACAAGTCATATGCTTGATGGTAAGCTATACGCCTGTCCATAACAGTTGCAGTGCCACTCAGAACTTTATATATCAAAAGATCTGAGGGGCACTGCCGCTGCGCCTGTGACCCTCAGACATAAGTTGATAAGTCTCATGTGCCTGTAATTTCACCAGCACCCTTACCCTTCAAAACCGGAACACAGTAATGCTGACATTACTCCATGGCAGCAGAAATAGGTAAGGTGGCAGTACTACCCTGGACGAACTCTTTCACAAGGAGCTCTACTGCTACTAAAATCTCAAATCTAGAAACATGTTATATTCGTAAAAGCTTTTCAGTTCTCCAAGAAGTCCTTTTTTACCTTAATTTTGATTCGTTCATAACCCCAATCGCTAGTTACATAAATTAGAGCCAAAGTGTCCGGGCAACTTTAATAAGACGCCACCTGTCGCGCAGCGGATTTACTCTTAATTGCTGTTCAGCGTTCTGTTTGCGATAGCTCCAGGACTAATTTTAAATGGAAGTTTAAGCCTTCAACTCCATTACGAGCTAACAAGCTGTTTTGTCGACATTTATTAAAACGGATATCGTTTGTTGGAAAGTCTGTTCGTAGTCAGTTGTTCATTATGAGGATTTATTGCTCTCGAAACATGAAAGATCTTAGTTTTCTTAAGAGTCTGTACTACCTCAAATGGCTTTGGTTGATTCAGCATAACAGTGAAAGTGTTGATGAATAACTTTGGAAAAAATTTATAGTAAAATTGTGTTTACAAACTGATCACTATATGGTGTGAAAACACGATTCCTAAACATTTTCCGATAGAAAAAAAATACAAACTTACCTCGAAATTTTACAAGAAAACCGCTATATTCAATAAGTACTTTACATATACCAATGATTTTTTTAATATCAACTGAACTAAATAGAAAACGTATACTATACCCCTGTAGCCCTGCCGCTTGACTCAAGCAAAATGAATGTACGTATTTAATTGTGGTCAGGTGATTTACTATCACAACTACTGTCGTTATTGTTAGTTATTATTTTTGTTTCTTTTAAAAATAACGATCAACACCATAAAGAACAATCATTTGGTCTCTGCTGAACGTATAGAAACGTATAATATAGTGAGGAAGCGGTAAATTCTAATTAATCAATAATCGAAACGTACAAAATTAATAATGCTATCCTGATACGACAGTCATTCATAATTTATATTGGACTTGACGTAATAGAAGCGGAAGTTACCAACATGGTTCAATAGGAAAGCTTGGCCGGAAAAGTAATAGTAGCTAATAATGACATCTTATACGTAGTGGGAACTAAAATGGCGCACACCGCTTTCTGAGGAAATTCCTTACTCTTTCTAACGTGTGTCAGTTTTAAGGCACTTCTTATGATCATTTAATCTAGAACTAAATGATATACGAGACCAAGAGTAAATTTTTAGTTACAATTGCTTTGAAACCATCAACAAAGAATAGTACAGAACTACATATGGTCCCTATTAGAACTCTCTTTAACAAAGCACTATAAACCAAAACTTATCCGTAACAATTTGAGTTTCCCTTCTATTATTCAAGGCGATATGATCTAAAACATCAAAAGGACTGGACTAATTCATCAGAGCTAGTTTTTAGCCACCCGTGGTCGTACAATCAGATAGGCCAGGTCACATGGCAGGGACAAATGCGCTCGTAACTCACAACACCCGGACTCCCCTTGAGATTTCTTATTCGTTGTCATGGGGAGGAGTGTTTTTCCGTGTTATATTGAGGATCGAGGACAGTTTACCTATGGAACTTCTATGTCTTATTCTGTGCATAATTTATATTAAGTTACTTATCCTAGCGCAGCCCTCTAAAGCTCAGTTTAACCTGCGAAAGTAATACATGTTATAATTTTGTGGATATCCTTACCTATGTATGTATCTATACCTACCTACATATGTTTTTGGCTTGACAATAAAATATTTTAAAACAAATCTTGATAAACGCAAAATTCCAGACAATCAAAGGTATAAGTGTTTATATTGTGTTAAAACACTTCTCTGATAACACAATTTCTGATTTAAAAAACAAGAACCAGCTTCAAATTTGGGGTATATATTCGTTTGGTTCATTAACTTTTCGAATAATGTAATAGTCCTAAACAACAAAATATTGACTAAATGTTCATGTAACAAAGTTCTTATCTAGTATCTCCCCTAATGTTCCCTTCTCCATGTTCACCGACCGGTTATTACAGTGTATATCTAGCTATACAGTCGGGTGACGGTCAGGGCACTTTTCTTTATGAGCCCGTTTTTATGATAAGCCTAATGGGGACCAAATCTAGAATGTAAAGTTGTAAAAAACGTCTCTGCGTTATTTTTTCAGGTTTGATGAGCCTCTTTGTTCTGAGGTTTTATGTTGCGAATGTTCAGTTATATTTGAAGTGGTACATTGATACATTGCTGTCGAATGTCATCAATAGTGCCCTTATTTCGTGATCCGAAACCAAATTTGTCGCTACATTTAAGCCTCTTTTATATGGGCTGTATTGTTATCACGCAAGTCTTTGTCAAGGCGTAAATAATACAGTGTACTTATTTTGAAACTAAATAATTACAAAACATTTTTTTTTTGGTTTATAGGTCTAATAAATTTTGCTTGGTTTTATTTTATTTTAATCAGCCCACGGAAAGTGGTACCTACATAATACCACCTTTCAACGTACAATACCTGGAACTGATTTGATGGAAACGACACAGATATTTTCTAATAGCAAATCGCATTCTATAATCGATAAAGCTTCCAATTGAAAAGATCCAGGACTCGGCTCTTATCTCCAGTTATCTATCTTGTTTTCAGTCGCCGAAAACGATTTTTCCTTATGTCGGGGACATGTAACAAATTATCATTCAATTTGTTAGCAGGGGAACCTTTTATCACAGTTTTCAATCCGTTTAACATATAAATTTGGTTCCAATTTATTGCACTCATTTGTTATTAGGTCCGTGATGGGCAAATTAATCTTTTTCTAGAATGAGTATTTTTAAGCTTTGAATCAAGTTCACTTTCTTTTACAGTTATATCATTAAACTTTCATTATCATCATCAACTCATGTATACGTCCTACTGCTGTGCACGGGTCTCCTCTCAGGAGAGGGTTTAGGCTATAGTCAACGCTGGCCCAATGCGGGATGCAACTTAACAAGTTCTCGAGAGTCGTGAACCTTTTTCGATGTACTGGTTTCACTACGATGTTTTCCTTCACTGAAAAGCTCATGGTAAATTTCACACATAAATTCCAAGAAACCCAACGATGCGAGTCTGGATCCTAACCTATGGCCTCAGATTCAGAGGCGGCACATTTCATTCACACCATTACACTTTTTTAACTTTATTAATTTTTACAATAATATTTTATTGTATAAAAGTAACATTTTATGGAATATAGATTGTCAATCTTAGTAACGTTAATGTTTTTTGTTACCATAGAATTGTGCACACAAACACTTTTTTCTTCATTAATTCATAAACCACAAGGTATAGGAAGGGAAGGACACTCAGGGTCGTATTCTAGAACTCTACTCAATACTCAAGTCCTTGCCATTAGGGTCGTATTTCCAGTGCTTGAAATCATACTCAAGTCTGCTCAAATCCTGCCTTGAGCATTGAGTAGACTTCTGGAATACGACCCTTAAACTTTAAGCCGTAATTATTTTGTCGCACATTTGAGTGAAAAGTATTTTGAACAAACATAAGTTATTGGAATGGATTCTTCTTAAACTTAAGAGCAGTTAAAGTAAATGCTATTCTGTATTATCCAAAGCGACATGTTTAGCTTCTTAGGCTCTCTCTTTTCTCTATTTTGCCTTTCGAAATCTTTTATTATTCGATTTTCGTTTCACGCGTTTATCTTTCACGTTTTCTACTGGTAAAAACAAAATTAGATATTCGTACCATTTGAAATTGGTACGAATATCTAATTTTTGTTTACTTGTAAACATCAAATTACGACGCGAACGTAATTATCGAAACAAATTTTTATGTTGCGAATTTTCCGCAAAGGCATCATTAAAATATCGAAGGCATCAGATTACTTGGCCCTTAATTTTGTATGTATCTCAAAGTTTATTATTTTTATTATAAACAAGTAGTTACCAAATTTTCCATCTTGGGAGAATGTCCGAAACGTGCCTTATCATTTCTTTATAGAAATAAAGGCGGACCTTAACATCCTCTGTTAATGTTTTATAGTGTTAGGGTAGCATGAAATGATATTAGATGTTTACTCTTCTGTGATTTTATGTAATATGGACTGTTTATTTACATTTTTTGTTAGCATTTTCTAATCATAAATATAATTTGTTTCAATTCTGATTTCATCCCTATTTCTTGCTTTTTCTTGTAGGTTTTTACTTTTTAATTAATGGTCGTGAATGTTACTGAAGCTGTAGATAATAACCTAAAAAAAATGAAAGTCTTATTTCGCATCGCACAGGCTACCCATCAAAATAACTTAATACCAACTGAAGAAACTGGAAAGGTTCTCACGAGTAATACTTTCGAGAGTTTTTCCCAAGATTTATGTTAAAAACTTTGCCCATTTTTCATTTTTTTTTCCTTGCGCCTGCTCTTTGTGTGAACGATTATCATTTTTGTATTTTCTCCATCCACACTTAAGTTTCTTTTGTCAGATTCGTTTCTCGTCACAAAAACGTTTCCGAATAAATTCAGAATGAAACACTCCATCTTTGTATCTTATTTATTACTTTCAAATCTTTTGTACATGTCCGAGAAAGTTGTTGACATCAATAGATTTATCATTACAATAAACTGACACTGTGTATGACGACTATTATTTCTAAATATGATATCTGAATAATCTTATTTTTATTCTGAGGTACATTCAGTATATTGACAAGTACAAAACATTTAATTTAAATCTTACAAAATATTGCACATTGAATAAATAACTCGACTAGGCAACGAATTCCTTGTACATTGAATTCTATAAAATAGTTGTTACTTCGTTATTAGTATTTCTCAAATCTGGTACATTAAGTGTAAAATGTCTATTACAGTTACAATTAACTGGTCCACCTAATTCATTTTTAGCTACGCAAATGTTAGGGGATCTGAATTTGCTTTCTTTTTCTTTTTTAGCCTTTTTGTTTCTTGGTATAGGTAAAGGTATAGACAAATTACAATCTGTTAATGAATCGTTTCTGTAGCTGTCTTTATCATCACCGTTTTTGGTGTAGACATAGTAAGTTCTTTGGTACTCGTTTTGTTGTACCCAGTCGTCGTGATATTTCTTTTCGTTGTCTCGGTTGAAGATAATTTCTGCATAGTTAGTGTCCTCGCGGTCGTCATTGCTGAGAGTGCCGTTGACATGTCTTTGCGACATCCATACGTATCTTGCCATGAGTTCTTCTGGACCCCAAAGTCGAGATGGACGGAAGGCTGATGATATTTTCTGTAAAATATAATCAATATTTTATCAATAATAGTGTCACTTACCACTTCTTGGTAATTTTTTCTCAACTTAAATTTTCAACCAAAATTATATCAGACTCATTTTGAGCCATTATTTTAATTTTCTTTCGGCGTACATTAAATTCAAACGCTGATTTATAAAACTTTTTAAAAATAATATCTAATGACTTAACAATAAATACTACGCTATAGAGAAGTGATAAGTAAACTCTACGATCAAAGCAATAAACGTACGTCAAGTTACTAAAAACAATAACATACCGAACATAAATTAAATTGTTCTTCTTTAGCTACAGCCACAGCAGCGATGACGAGCATCACTACCAAAATTCCAATGAAAACTCCAACCAAAGGCCACATATTCCAAAATTGTCCCCACGGAGACCTTAGAATGGCACGAAGCCACCAGCCAGTAATACCAAAGAGAAAAGCTGGAACCAGCCAAAGGATGGCAATCCACAAATAGGATAGTCTTGTACCCGTAAGGAACTCGATGTCAAAATTGAGATAGCACGAACCTGATAAACACATGAAATATTATAAATGACTTAGAAAATGTTAAGTAATATATTCCATTATTTCCACACAAGAAGGAACTACAGTCGTCACAATGTAAGAGGCCCAATTTGACAGCTAAGTAAGACGACAGCATAGTATGTAAATTTGAATGCAATCAACGAGACAGTAAACAAACAATGATTAACTTAGTGGGCTTAAAAGAAAAATACATTCATAATTTCAGTGAAGCATTATTAAAATTATGATAGAACATACCTAAAGTATTATATTCGCACGAATTTCAAAATAAAAAGCAAGTTTGAGTTAAATCGAAATGTCTTAAAAACAATAAAGTTACGTCATCTATCAATTTTTTTTAAGCAATAGTGTTGTAAGTTGTTGTTTAAAAAATAGTGGTGTAAAAATTTCACCGAGTCAATTCAATTTCACAAAATAATAACTTTTTTTAAATATGATATGATATGATAATGTGATTGAAAATGAAATATTATATATACAGGTGATACTAGTTCAAACGATGATTTTGGCTCATCTTCGATGAAAGTGAATAAAAATGTAACTATTAGGTCTTTCTTGTTTGGCTTCAGAATTTTGCTATTTAACTATAGGTGGTCCTCGTGAACTCTGTCATTGTAACTACATAATACTAAGAACAACTACTACATATGTTGTCAATGTAATTATTTAAAATACTTACTTATTACTTGTATTTAACTCTATATTGCTTAAATAAATGTTAATTGTTCTATCTAGAACTGAAAACCAATGACCCGAAAAAATTTAAACGATTAGAGACCCATAAAATGTCGAATCGAGTAGTCGAGAGAATCGTTTGATATTACCGATATGTTAAGTTCAGGTCTATATTTACGTTGCGATGACAAGTGTCCAAAGGTGCCTCTTATTCTGTGACGACTTAGGTGTATATTACCTATTTAACTTTTTATTTAAATTATTATTTATTTAAATTTAAAGAAACAACAAGTGTAACACTGATAATATAATACCACACTAGTACAGATTCCCAATCTCATACAAAATGCGTTTTTGATTCTTAAAGCTGATCAGTAGATAGTACCAAATAAACCCGCGATGCTGTTGTAATAATATTCAAAAAGGCCAACAGATGGCAGGAATTATAATTTTGTCAAGATTATTGCTCTTGTTCAGAGGTTGATTATAATATACAATAACATACAATAAAATTTCAAGAAGCTAAGTGTGTACTTTTAATATTATAAATTGAAAGTCAGAGCTAAGACGTTCGCTAGTTTCGAGAATAAATTCAAAGAAATACCATCTATACAATGTGTTGCAAACTTTACAAAACAAATCAAAATTGAGAAACCTATGATTCATTATCATTTCAACGACACTTTACTATTTTCACCAAATTTACCATTTCAACCGAATATTCCTAAAACATTCTTTAAATAGTCTTATTTACTATTACATACCTAAAATTTTCGAGATTTGTTATTTCATATTTTTTATTTTATTCAAATGTCGCCATGTACAGTTTTAAATATGTACTAAAGTTAATTTGTATGAATTGATACCGCACGCTTAGAATAATCAAGAAAATCACCAGGACTCTATTTTGCCCGAGTCAGTAATTATAATTAATAACAAATTAAATAAAATACGAATGACATCTCACCATATATAAATACAAAACCGACAACCTCCATGGCAGTGGTAAATACAGACAGAACTGGGACTGCTAATTCATCTAATAAGGTAGCGACTTCTAATCTTCTTGTTAATACGGCCACTGTCAAAGACGTGCCTAACGCCGATGCTGCAGTAGCGAATAATCGCCAATGGTCCCCAGTCGCGCGGTGAAGCTTATCGAATATTGGATACAGGAGTACTAACTGGAATAAATAAATAAGAAAGGTGAAGCAACGTATTATTATTTAATTTTAGTTTCGGTGGTTTTGTTCCCTAGTTAACGATTACTTGTGTGGTGTATGTAGTGTGTCAGTTTATGTGTGAATACAAAAGACCCATTTTATCCACACACCATTGTTAATAGTCTCAAGTATCGGAGTGACTGGCATTTTAGTACTTTTAGGAAGCGCCTAACAAATGCCGCTAAACCTTTTGTTAACCATAAATGTGCCAGTTTCTTCATCTTTCGGAATATTTGAAATATGCTTCAATGGGCAATTCGTTTAATACAACAATAAACACACCTCAATTCCGCCATTTCGCGTTTAGCGTCGCCTTGCTTTCTTAGGGTCGTATTCCAGAACTCTACTCAATACTCAAGTCAGGACTTGAGTATTGCAGTGAGCACTGAAAATCATACTCAAGTCCTAGCCATTAGGGTCGTATTTCCAGTGCGTGAAATCACACTCAAGTCTGCTCAAATCCTGACTTGAGCATTGAGTAGAGTTCTGGAATACGACCCTAAAACTCGTATCTCAAAGCACAAACTTACTCAAAAAATAGATTGCATATACAAGTTTTGCAGGCTGATTTCACATCAAATTTCCTTCATATTTACATACTGGCTTTTACTTATCCTTAAACTAATGCATCCAAATTAACACGCTTGATAAGAAATTTAAAATAAATAGAAAGTTTTGTATCTCCTGAATAATCACTCTTTCTAAGATACGAGATTGAGAAAGTAAGGCATCGGCACCTTCACCTGTGCAGCCACAGCGACCATGTAATTGTTAACTTTTATATGTACCTAACGTATTATATAATATATATAACGTACTTTTGCAATTAGTGTATATGCATACATAAAGAAATGTAAATCTAAAATACCAAGAACTGGCACATATTGGATTTATTAGATCGATTATAGTGACTTGATCCATTTGAAGAGAACATGTTACATTCTATTGTACTACCGTATTTAAGTTCTTTAGTTTAATTATGTAAATTTTTATCTGTATACATTTATTATTATTATTGTAGTGCACGGTTATGGCTGACCAGCTTAAACTACCAAATAAAAGCTTAAAGACCAAATAACCAAAGTCAGGGTCAATAAAACCGAACAGGGCGTCTACATTTTTTGACAACTTCTTTGCTCCAATATTTTTAAATCAAATCATTTATACTGTACGCACGTCTATAAGGTCTTATTTAACATTGTTGTATCAGTACGTTTTGCCGATTTTACGACATACAATTTACATAATTAAATTAATTTAACAGTATTATAGGTACCTAATTTTGGTAACAAATTGTCAAATAGGAAAAGAAACTATTTTTCCGGATTTAAATCGCGTATATTTGTTTTTTCAAACATCCCAGTAAATGGGACCTGTAAAGGGCTCGAAACGTCGGTTTGTTTGAAATCCTGAAAAATAGTTTCATTTCCTATGTGTAACAATCGCGAAAACCTAAGAACTCGATAAATTGTCAAATATTAATTTAAATTTAAATTCTTAATTAAATTTATGTCATTATTTTGTGTTAGTAAACTATTATTCTATGTTCTTGTCATTTAAGTAATCGCTGACTTCATAATATGCCCAGTAAATAAATTAAATAATCGCTTTTTAAAAGTGGCATTGTCGTTAGTCTCAAGTATTATAAATAGGCAGCCTATTGTATAGTTTTAGCGCCATCGCAAAATTATTATCGTGAAAGAGTATAGTCTTACAGGCAACCAGTTTCAATTTATTGTGTCTACGGGTACTTTCCATATTGCTGAAGAGTGTGGGATTTCTCCGAACAAAAATAACCGTTTCAAATATGTATAGTGAAGAATTGTTAATAATCTTAGTTTTTGAAAGTGTGGTATAAAGCTGTCCATATTACTTAACTTATTAATTACACGCAATGTAGACGCCTTGACGTCAAGTTGCGAATACCAGCTCACCATACCATACCATACTTAAGTTATTTAAACTGTATTTTGTTAGGTACCCATTACTGTGGATGGGAGTGATAATAGCCTAGTGCGATAACAATTGCTTCTCACTTGAGAAGCCGATGGTTAAAATCACAGTGGCGACAAGAACCAATGACTTTCATTTCTAAGTGCCCAGTAGTGAGACGTATAAAGAGTTGTTGACGATGATGATGATAAATGTGGACGTAAGTAGATACTTACGATAGTTATAATGCCCGATACAAAAATAATTCCGAAAGCCAATAATGGCCATTCCTTAGACCTCCGTTCTGCTACAGAAGACTGATATATGAGGACTAGAATTCCTATGAAGCTCTTATCCTTAGTCGTTGTTGCTGCTATAGACTCCCATAATAACACCCATAGCCAACCCGTTATTATATTTAGTGTTATTATTGATATCGCGTTCCTGCAAAATAAATATATATTTAAACAATTATAGAGAGATCTTTGAATATACTCTTTCTTTTACTATATCAAATAGAAACTAGAGACAGCGTGTTACTTGTGAAGTTTAGTAGATACGATTGCGTGTCTGCGATTGTTTTCAGTATAATATTGTTGACGGCGGGAAATAAAATTGACAACATAGTGAACGTGCTTATATTCCGTAGATTGTAGCTATGCATATAAAATTAGGTAAAAATTAAAATAAGGATTTGGACAATTTTGTATCTTCTTGTTATGTTTTAAATCAACTAACCGCCTATAATAACCTCAACATCCAAGGAGGCGTTAACAAACATGGTATTGGTGATGGCACCATAACCATAAAATATTGTTTCGATACCTTGTAGCAAAAATCATTCATAGTCATTTTAAATTCTTTGTATATGGTAACTTAAAAGTAATCCTTTTAAAATAAGGCCCATTGTCTAGCATTTCATTACTTTGCCTTCTACATGCTGTTTAGACAGAACTACAAAATGCAATTGGCTGCTAAAATATTGCTCTTCTCCGCTTTGTTAAGTAAGTAGATACAGGTTCCAACAATTTATATTGTCCCAAAAGCTTGACCTGGATAGTGCCAATTCTTCTACGACTAATTGTGCTTTTAATTAATTTAAAATTGTAGAAGGTACTCAAAGTTTGAAGTCCAATTTGGAACTTCAAAATTGATAGCCAATTATTACAGTAAATAGTTTGTAAATAGTAATTACTTTTATATACTGACGACTCTGAAAAATTTTTTTTTGCTGGTAATTATTTTTATACACAATTATAATTCTCTATTTCCTCAGCTCCGTTTGAAATTAAAAAGTGGGTAGTGCCAGCGCAATGATATCTAGCTACTTAAGATCAAAAATCGAAAATGTTTATAGACTGTATTAAAGAAATCACACATCACCATCCTACTAAAAATAGTAGCCCCTAAACATTAACAAGCAAATTCTAAATCAAATTACTTACCATCGGACATCAGATTGTCTGTAAACAGTGCCACCTGCGCTTATTAAATAGCCGCTAGCAATCTGCGTGGACAACAACGCCTGGACTAAAGCACTGTGCCAAATGTATGGATGCGATAATTGCATCCATTTCTCGCAAGACGTGAAGAGTGAAGTCAGGTCTGGACCGTGAGATACAAATGTACATAGTACTATAGTGATTATAACTAAAAATGGCGCCAGGACATTGAGGGTGATTTTCAATGTTTTACGGAGACGGAATAATCTGAAACAATTTTTAGGTATTCAACTTTTTAAATTAATGTATAATATGAATCCTACATATAATAATAAAGAACAAAACGAAATCAACCTTATATTTAGCACAATGTCAATGCTTCTTCTTCTTCTTCCTATCCTTATCCCACGCTAGGTGGGGTTGCCACAACATGTATTTTTTTCCACTCTCCTTCCCCTATCAGCCGTCATTTTTATACTCACACCTTTGTTATCCATGTCATCTGCCACACAATCCATCCATCTTTTCTTTGGCCTTCCTTTCCCCTTATATCCCTCCACATTCATACCTAGCACTCTTCTCGTCACATGACATGTCCATATCACTCATCTTTTCCGTCACTGTCGCCACTTTCAAACTTCCCCTGATGTACTCATTCCTTATCTTACCCTTTCTTGTCACTCCTTACATCCATCTCAACATTTACATTTCCGCTACATGCACAGTTTGTTCATCCTCCCTTTTCATACCCTAATATTCTGATCCATACAACATGACAGGTCTAATCACGGTCTTTTATATTTTCCCCTGACCTGTTGCCATTTTATTTTTTTAAATCTCTTAACATCAAGAAATTGTCAAAGAAAGTCACTAATAATGTCCCTTAGGAAATGCTTCATGAACAAAACTTTCATTAGCAAAGTGTTCATGTCAAGCAGTACAAATATGGTGAAGGAGGCAATAATTATGTTAACCCTTGTTATATTAACCCTTGCTTTATCTACGTTAAGAATGGACCAAAAGCGCTCAAAAGGACTGCGAATCTCCATACTACAGTTCGTAATTCTGAAAAAGATCAAAATTCCGTCTTATATCGAGATGGCGCTGATAGATAGCCTGGAAGTAGTTTATGATAAATAAATGGCCTGGGATATCAATTAATTCCCCTTTAATATGAAATATAAGAAGTCAGCTTTTTCCTTGTTTTATTATTCAAATACATATATTGACCATGGGTTAAAATTATTTTCTGAATTTCGACAAATAATCGTGTCACTTAAAGGCATTGTGCGTTACAAACTAATTTGTAAATTAACGCTTCCTAATATAGGTAGATGGCGCCATTCCTAAACAAAATAAAAGAATAACCGGCAGTATCCATACCAGTGAATTAAGTTCCAACCAGTTGATTTGTTTGTTATCACTAGAAACTAGTTACAAAAATAGCTATTTGGTACTCGTCGCGACATCTGGTGCATTAATAGGTACTAAATAATCGAGTACACTGTCTTGTTTCGCAATAAGCAGTATTCTGAAGTTATTGTTGTTCATGTTTTAAGTAATGCTCTTTAATAGTACGGTGCCAATATTAAGCTATGTCTCTGTAAATGGGTTAATACGGTGTAGTATGAATAATAATTGCCATGAGACCCCATGATCTCTTCAAATTTCATACTTTTCTCCACCTTAGCAGACCAATATATGGAGTCTTCCATATAAGGGTTTAACTGTATTTTAAAGTCCCAAGTGATCGAAATTACCGCGGAATCCACCCGTCGTCCATTACTTTCGCAGAAATGTCTAATATGAATATGCTCTAAACCACATAATTTTAAGTCCATTTTTCAATACTTTATTTTCAAAGTAGGCAGTCTGGTGTTAAGGTGTTAAACGGATGATAATCTTCAGAGACAAATTCGTGATAACATTTACATTTCACAAGTTTGTATGGCACGTAAAGGTAACGCAAATGCGTCTATAGCGATGCATAGATCAATACAAGGCAAAGATGGGTTCTCATTATGCAATTGGTTAATTTATTAATGTGAATTGGGAGAGGACGGTGTGTGGCTGGCAATGGTCGTCGTTCGTGCGAGTAAACCGACATAATCACGGATCGTGCGAGGCCGCCTTTATAGAGCACGCCTAGGGTTCAAAAAAATAATTATATAAATATTTTACGTGATTACTTGTAACAACAAACACTTTCACTTATGATAAAGCTACAGGGAACTGATCTAAATCCGTGAACACAATCAAAACACGGTCACGAGGATTACGCCGCTAATAAATTATAATGAATTAACTTAGTAGTATAATATTTCAATTAGAGTATTAACATGATGAATATATCCATTAAAGAGCTCTTATTTTGACAAATACGACCATTGAGAGGGGCCTATTTAATCACAATGAATGGCCTAATTTTACTGCTTCTCGTAATTACCCATATTTCATTTGGAATAGCGGTAATATAATTTAATTGTTGATTTTTTTTAGATATTATTATGGAGTACGTTTTATAAAGCGATATTAAAATCAAGGGTACTTTTCTTGATAAAAAATTATTTGAGAAAAATACCAAAGAAAATTGGTATCGTCTTCTTTGCACGTGTCATTTTAAATCGGTTCCTACCACGCGTGGCCAATCAATGAAATGTTGGTGTATGGTTTTCAGTTACGATTAGATCTGCCCCATAAGTTTCCAGTCAAATATTCCACTTTAGGTGACTAAATGTACTTGTTTGATTACACAACACGTGGGTGATTACATGTACTTGTTTTTTTTTAGTATCTTGGTGTGCCCACTGCATCCATTTGAGTTTTGCTGCTTCTCCGTAATCGGTGCCCAATTCTATATACGTACGTACTTAACTGCTTACATGGCTGAACGATTGACCTTGCTGGGCAGCTATGCAGAGGTCCCAGTTTCGATTCCCGGGTCGGGAGAAATATTATATAAGTATATGGCCTACATTTATTTATCTCGTGAGTTTGGATGTAATTTGTGGATGTCTGTGTTTATGGTATCCGCGATAGGGTATCCATTGAGTGTATTGTTATAACGTAACACACACATATTTGTAGCTGGCATACCTATAACTGGTATATCTGCTTACTGGCATGCCTGCTATAGCTAGCATATTTTTTACGTGTTTCCATGATATGCAAATGTGCCAGCTGTAGGTATGTGTAGTTTGCCTTATTAGCAACTACAAACTACATTTTAAGATAATAAAGTAATTGGACTATTTTGATTATTTTTTAATTGAACCTCCATACTCATTCTAGCGTTAAGTAGAACCATGAACTAAACACTGCATACCGTAAAAGTAATTTATAGTTACAACTATCTTTTGCGCAACACTAGTAAGCAATTAAGAAATCCACTTTCAAAGATACGCATCAAGAAAAACGATAGTTATAAAATTAAAAAGTAATATTTGGATTATTACTCACAGAATGGGCAGGAAGAACCATAAAATGAATATTAAAATAGCCATTATGCCGAGATATTGCGGATATTCCGTGAACGGTGCCAGGAACGTTGCGCTGGAACAGGTAAAGATCTATATTTATGTATATTACATCATAACACTATTACCATATAAAGAAATTATAATAAATATGGATGCAAATTGTTTTATATAAACCTGGCAAATGATAAAAAAAATGTTTTGTCAACTTACTTGAAGCATTCTGAAGCATTCATTTTATTTTCGTAGCCATTCTGTAAATGAGAAGATTATCAATTAAATCAGGAAATTTAAAATTTTGTAGATATATAGAGGTATGGTAGCCTACCGGGAAAACGGTTGTTTCTCAATTGAGATAATTATCACATCCCTGTGGCGGCACGTACCACCTTAGGACCACTTCAAATTAGACGCTTATAGAAGTGCCGCAGTGGTGCGACTGTGGCGCGGCAGCCGCGCCATTACTAGTTAACATACAATATCCAGTCAGCATAAGTGGCGCACCTGTGGCGCTCCAGCTCTCTGTGCTTCTAAATATTGTATGAAAATAAGTAATGACACGATTGCAGCGCCACAGACGCGCCCCTGTAGCGCTTATAAGCCTCTAATTTCGTTAAATAGAACATTTTCACTCTTACTTCTATTTATGTGTTCGAAAAGTGTAAACTAGTGCGGAAAAACAAACTGTACAAATTCACACGCGAAGTTTATAAAAAAAAATTAATTTATAAAAAATGTTTAGGAAATGAAACTATTATTTCAGATCTAAATATATTTCTTATTTCATACAAGGTACGGGGTCAAGAGCGCCTCAAGCTTGACACTTAAAATTTAAATCCAACTCTATGCCGCTTACGATAAGAACGGCCCAAAGTACAAAGTGTCAAACTTGACGTGCTCTTGACTGTACCGGCTGATAGTCGGAAAAAACAAATAGCGAATTAGATCCAAATAATAGGCGCAATCGAAGTATTTTTAATTTTTCAATAATAGCGATATCACCAATTCTTTTTATTAAAACGTAAGAGTGCATTTGACCTCCATCTCACCTGATGGAAGGTGACGATGAGGTCGACGATGTAGCATGCACACCTAAATAATACCTATTCACTCTCACCTTGAAAAGGCGAAAAGACACGGAATTCCACTCCATAGCCGTTTGGCATATAAATGTGGAAGCGTAATGCTTCCACTTTCTAAGACCGATTGATTGTACATAAAATAAGATAACTTACTGGCGTTATTTGTAACTTAATGCAATCTTTCAGCGGGAACGTTCCTTTGCCAATCCATATCAAGTAGGCGGCGGACAGAGCCACTAGCACAACGTGGTACACGCAGATTATGTACGATGTGATCACTTTCAGATGGCCGACACCTGGAAAAGATAATACTATAATAATAACTTTTTGGATTTCATATTTAAATTTTTTAACTGCTACTATCCAACAGGCGAAAGCCTTCTTTCTCTTCCTCTGCTCACTGCGATTTAACTTCGCTACAAGTCAAGTGTGGGCATTGGATGTGGGTTCAGTAGCAGGAAGTACTGCCACCTTACCTATTTCTGCCACCAAACAGTAATGTCAGCATTACAGCGTCCCAGTTTTTTTTAAATATCAAGCGATGGGACAAATAAGTCGTGCGCTTGATGGTAATCCATAACAGTTGCACTCAGAACTTTAAACTGCAAAGATCTGAGGGCCACTGCCACTACGCCTGTTGCCTGAGACATAAGTTGATCCATGTGCCTGTAATTTCACCACCACTCTTATCCTTCAAAACCGGAACAGAGTAATGCTGACATTACTGCTTGGCAGCAGAAATAGGGTAAGGTTGCGTTACGACAACACCGCCTAAGTCGTACTCCAGCGATATCTGATCTCACATGCGTGGGAAGTAATATCTAGTAATATAAATTTGAACTATTAAGTTAAGCGAGTAAACAAAAACAAACCGACGACGGCCGGCCGACGTTCGTGTTGGGAAAAATATGAAAAACTACGTTTTTGCACTGTTTTCTTTAAAATTTCTCATTCATTCGGAAGCTATTACAAGGAGAAATATGGTAAACTCATTTTTTGGGTATTCGACTATTTTTGATGTATTTTAGCATTTATTTAAGCACAAGCAAATGGCAGATTTTTTAATGTTATTATTAACAGTAATTTTGATTTGAAATTTGCAGTGTCGCTGCTTAAGTCGTACCCGTGGAAAATTCCTTAATCGTACCGGTACTTAAATAATATATTTGTGATATTTGTGTTCAACAAAACTAAGTTTGTAGTGCCTTTATTATATAATATGCCTTTACTTGATTACCGAAGCATGTTAATTTTATTTCATTAGAATTTGTAAGTTCTTTTCAGGAGAATTTTAATTTTATTTAATTAAAATTTACAGTTTTATTTCAGAAGAAATTATAACTTATTTCATTACAATTCATAATTATATTTCTTAAGAGTTTAAAATTTTTGTTTTCTATGTGGGATTGTTCTCTCCCTTCAAAGATGTTAAGAATTATTTGATTTTAACCACCGTAGACCTTAGTACCTGTTTCTAGATTTTAATTGTTATTATGATCTCTTTTTATTAGTACTGTACTATACAGTTTATGACGTCCTGACTGAAGTGTTATTCAAGTACGACTTAGGTTGTAGGTGGTACGAATTGGGAGACCACGTGCCTAAATCGTACCAAAGGCACTTTTTTGTAAAACTTGTCAATACCTTATTAAATAAAAGTTTTTCGTATTTTCATTAAAACACATTGATAGTACCTAAATAAATAAAGATCCCGTAGACGCTAAAGGTTCTGTTTAATTTAAATAACCTTAAATATTACAGTGGTTTTTTCTTAGAGGGTACGACTAACGCAACCTTACCCTAGGTAAGGTGGCAGTAGCAGTTTCCCACTAACATTGGCTTGTTTGAAAAACACGCAACGCGATTTTGATATGTTTCATTACCAAGGTATCATTTTTATATCGTCGGCCATTTTTGAATTACTTGTCTTTAGTATTTCTCTTTCTTTTTACGTCTGCCGCACTCTGGACATCAATCAGTGAGTACCTTACGCCGATTGCCAAAGTTAGTAACAGTAGAGCTCCTTCCGAAAGAGTTCAAACAGGGACGTACTGCCACCTTACCTATTTCTGCTACCAAGCAGTAATATCTTTTTTTATTTTTATTTTATTATTAAGGAATAACAACAGCCAACTTAAATACGTCTTACAACAAACAATATTTGTCTTAAATAACTTAGGCCAAAATAGTTATCCACAATGACATAAATTTTGAAGCCTTATAAACGAACAAATCTCAATCATCAATATCAGCAATATTGTGTTCCGGTTGTGAAGGGTAAAGGTGCTGGTGATATTTCAGGCACACGGACTTGCCAACTTATGTCTCAAGGTGACGGGCGCATTGACAGTGCCTCTCAGATCTTGGCGATTTTAAAGCTCTGAATGGCACTACTACTGTTACGGATAGGCGTATCGCTCACCACTAAGCGCACGACTAGTTCGTCCCATCAATCGGCAATATAAAAAAGGTTCCAGGTTCGATTCCCGGCAGACCAATTTGGGAAATTAATTTTTCTAAATTAGTCCTGGTCCGGGTGCTTTGGGTGAATTCCCGTTGCTCTGGTAGGTACTTATAGTACAGATGATTTACTAGTATGAAACCAGACAATTATTTATGTAGCTGCGGGAATTTCCGAGACTGCGATAATTATCCAAAATACGCACGACTAATTTTTTTTTTCGTTTTTAGTTTGTCCATTACACAATTTACATAAACTTCATTATGCTATGGCTACAAAAATTTGCTTCCAATCCGTTCCACAGCTATGTAAATTGAGCCTTAGGTACAGTCGGGTGCAATGAAATGTAAACGTTGCCACATTTTCCAATAAAAAAATAACTTTCATTTCGGAAAAAGTATTTTTTAAGCATGTCTAATTTATTATGCCCCATATGAACTCTCTAATCTGGAATTTAATTATTCTGTATTTTAATACATTCAAAACAGTTTACGAATTCAAATGAGGCCTCAAGGTCAGTATTTGGTTCTTTTAATAGATAATTAGTGGTGTAACAACCACAGACATATATCTAGATAGCCGCCGCAAGTGTACGTACTTCGCGTGCCCAAGGTAAGTGAAATTCACTTACTTGCCGCTGCTACACTTCAGTACGCGCTCGACCGTTATCGTAGATAAACACCAGTCGAAAACGCGAAAAATGCATAATTGTGCCATTATAAACTGCAAAAGCAGCATAACTGTGGGTAAACGGGTAAACAGGGACGTTTCCTTCCACGGGCAAGTGATTTTGTAATCAGAAGATGCATAATTTATTTTAAAAACAATTATTTTGGTTTTGTATGAACGTCGAAAAAAACAAATATGCAACCGAATGTATGCTTCATGTTTTGTAATACATTGCGGCTTTTACTTGGTGCAATATATTTGTGATCCTTTGTAAATACGCCATGAATATCGAACGAATGCACTTTTGTATAATGCATTCAGTTTCGTGGTACGGCCGCTTGTACATTTCTTTGGCCAAATTTAACATTTAGTGATGTATATTTTAGGCAACACTTATCGATGCTGATTGATTTTGAAAACAAAGGGACGAAAATTATTATGCCTTAGCAATATTATAAAAATATTCTATAACTCTTTTGTTACAACGTTTTTTTTTCAGTTTTGTAGTATCTATCATCAGTAGTATCTGTAATTTCGAAAATTTTTGCAGCTCGTTACCTCGTATGTCCGAATATAGTGAGCAAATAATATATATATATATCCGGATATTCAGTACGAGTAATACACAAAAATATATAATGCAGAGAATGTTAATTCTTGTGCGCTGTCTTTACAAAAACAGAGTTGCTTATATGTATGAGCTCGTAGCTTTCGAGGACGAAGGTGGTCTCGTTTATTCCACCTAAGATGCTATCCAAATATGCAGAGTAGCAGAGTTAGAAATTCGAGAAATAATAAACAAATCACAAAAATTTCACACCAGGCCGTCATTAAGTAAACCTCCTCTGATTAATGAGATTTTACCATGTTTTGTCAGCAGCAACATTTTCATTTGTCTTGCCATTCATCAATTTGATCAATTACCAACAGAAAACCATCTAGTAAAATTAATTAGGGCAGTCGCAAGTTCATATATTGACGTGCATATTCATTATTTAAGTTAATCGATAAGGTCTTCTATTACAAAAAGATGTCATATAATAAGCTCATTTTATTGGAAGGACAATAATTTCAATATTTGAAGTCGAAATAAAAAATTAGTATTAATTTTTTTAAGCAATCAACATTAAAAAAAATAAGTATAATAAAGGACTTAACTGTCTTATTCTAGTATTTTTCTTTTATATTATTATCTACTACTACTTGTAATCAACAAATACTTGAACAAAAATTATTGTATTTAGAGTCGATTAATTGAATGGAATAGCGTGTTTACGCGTATTCCGTTCAATCAATCGATTTAGAGCGAGCGGAAGGAGGTTTCCATCACTAAATATCTCGTGTGATTGTTTCGCAATTAGTTCCATCGCCGCTAGATGGCATTAGTTGTACCCTGAAACTCTCTATCGGTTTGTTAACTTCAATAAGTCAACTCATATATTTTATATCGTCAATGAAATTCGATGAACGAATACTTTTTACTGCCATAGCATTTGTATGGCACTAAAAGGGTCTCAACTTATTGGGACATTTCGGTCCTTACATACTGCTATTTTAGCTTATCGTCGGCACTAAACTTTGCGCTTTCTTGCACGTGATATGCACTGTTGGGTCCCCAGCCGCATAAACTTTTTGTTTTTCCCTTTTATTTATTACACGCCTTGTCAACGAAGTCTGCGTCTCAATTTTCGACACACCACCTCCATTGACCACGCTACAGTAGTAGTAATAGTTATTTACGAAAAAGTATTTTTTTTTACATATTCTATCATCAATACAAAGTAGTTGTGTTTTGTTCGCAAAGATGTGAAGATGGCAAAAGCTGACCCAAAATCAACGAAGTGCCGTTCATGAACTGTACTAGTATAATTTTACGTTTTAGTTCATGCCTAGTTATTAATATATTTTTGTATATTTTTAGAAATTGGGAATAAAGAAATTGCAAAACAATGTATTTTAGAATAGATGCAAGAACACAACGCGATTGATTCTGTTCGACCATAGATTAGGTAACGTTCTCGTACATACGTTTTTAAGCATGATTGAATGTTTACCTGTATATAAATGTACCTATTCCTTTTTTTAAAACGGCGTTATGATTACATGTTTTTTAACACAATACAAGGTACTTATTTTTGAAATATCTAATATTTACGAATACTCAATTACGAAAATGTGATAACGTTACACGTGACTATACGTGTTCTTGAATTTGTCATTAACGGAAATGCCTCTTCCATATAAAAATTTAATATTTATTTTTTTAGGCCATAGGACGAGCATGAATCTAAACTACCGAAATGTTACAATGCCAGATTGATGTAAAGCAATTACGTCATTTACCTGATGTTTTGACACCACGTATCCACCCAGTTTGCTGGGCAATTCCCTATAAGGGAATAACGAATTAATTACAAGCACAAACTTAAAATATATAGATACATAGATAGAAAAGATCATAATCTAAATTGCTTCTACAGGAAATGAATTAAGGGCTCTGGTCATCAAACACTTATAATGCTAACAGTTATGCTTCAAAGATCATTAAATTCTTTTTTATTAATATATTAAAAGATTGTTTTTAAGACACTAAGTGATGGGACGAACAAGTCATGCACCTGATGGTAAAGGACACGCCTGTCCGTAACAGTTGCAGTGCCACTCAGAGCTTTAAATCACAAAGATCTGAGGAGTACCTACTGCCTCTGCGCCCATCACCCTAAGACATAAGTTGAAAAGTCCCATGTGCCTGTAATTTCCCCAGCACCCTTGCCATTCAAAACCGGAACGCAGTAATGCTCACATTACTGCTTGGCGGCAGAAATAGCTAAGGTGGCAGTATTTCCTGGATGAACTCTTTCACAAGGAGCTCTACTGCTACTCAAGATAATCCATCCATCACACCTGATGGAAAGTGACGATGACGTCGACGATGAAGAATTCACATCTAAATAATATCTATTCACTCTCTCCTTCAAAAGACCCAAGTTGTTCCGTTCAGAGAACAAGTCTGCAGGCAGGGAATTCCACTGTTCATTCGTTCGCCATATAAACGTGGAAGCCAAACACCAATAGTGACAGATCATTATTAAGTCTTTAAATAATTAAGATTAAACAATACAAGGATGTATGGCATTACTTTTGTGTAGTCACTGATATAAAAACTCGCTTTTGTATTGACTCTGTACTAAAGTTCGTTGATAAACCCTGTTGACGATAAAAATACAGGAAACTCTTTGCCACCGGCACTTATGCGATAGTCGAATAACTATTGTCACATTTGAAAAACTACAGCACAGTTTAAATAACTACGAGTGAGGTTTGATAAGTACATGACTTTAAGGTTAAATATAAACTATTTTCCATTGACCAAATAATTGACTATATTATATTAGACAATATCACATACGTTGCTTTGATCCCAAAGTAAGTAGCTAAAGCACTTGTGTTATGGAAAACGGAAACAACAACGGTACAAACTCCTAGACCCGAGACAATATAGAAAAGTTAGTTTTCTACACTGACCCGGCGGAGGAACGAACCGGGGACCTCAGAGGTGGCGATGCCATGAAAACCGGTGTGCAAGCCACTCGGTCACCGATGCCGTCAAATTTATTTTTATTTCTTAATTTAGAATTCCTTACTAAGCACTGACGTTACTTTTTTAAATTAGCGGGAAAATAAAAAAATCGATGTAAGAATTATTAATACAAAGATCGAACACTCAGAAAAAAATCCTTCGATCCGGTCGCATTCGAACCGACGTCTTCTGGCATACCGTGCCAGACGCTATACCAACTATGCCACGGAACGAACCAACGGACCTCACGAATTTTTCTATGTGCTTGCGTCGTGTCTTTGTACTTAGTCTTTCAACGACTTTTTAGTCGTAGCGCCATCTATGAGAAATCTATTGCAGATTTATCACCCAGTTAGTACCTTTACAGCTACCAGTCCTTCAGTTGAAAGACCAAGTACAAAGACACGACGCAAGCACATAGAAAAATTCGTGAGGTCCGTTGGTTCGTTCCGTGGCTTAGTTGGTATAGCGTCTGGCACGGTATGCAAGGAGACGTCGGTTCGAATCCGACCGGATCGAAGGAATTTTTTCTGAGTGTTTTTTCTGAGTGTTCGATCTTTGTATTAATAATTATAACAAACTAGTGGAGTAATTTCTCAAAAAATAATTGAATATCAATTCAATAAAAATTTAATAGATGTAAGAAGTTAAGTGAGGTCGATATATTTTTCAAGATGGAGAAAACGGAATTTTGAGTATTTCGTTTCTCATCTGCAATCAGGACATTAACATACATTACACTCCCCGTATTTACCAGATTGGGACCCATTTGACTTTTTTATCTGATTTTTTTCTAATTTGCATCAAATGAGGAAGTGGTATAGCTGAAACACAGTCTTATTTTTCAATTTGACAACAAATATTTTTTGACGAGTTTAACAAGTTCGAGTACTGCTGGTCAAGATGAATAGAGTTAAAAGGAATTAGGTACTTGAAAAATAAACCATAACAAAAAAAAGTTTTTCTAAATGAATATAAAAAAATTACTTATTTTTATTTATTTTCAAGTCGTGCACCTGGTGGTAACTGACACGCCTATCTGTAACAGTCGTAGTGCCACTGAGAGTTTTAAATCGCCAAGATCCGATAGGCACTGCCACTGCGCCAGTCACCCTGATACATAACTTGACAAGTCCTATATGCTTGTAATTTCACCAGCACCCTTACCCTTCAAAACCAGAATACAATAATAGTCATAATTACAACTTGGCGACAGAAATAGGAAAAATATCAGTACTTCCCTGCAGTACTTGCTATCGGCTATTATCTTTTCAACAGGAATGGAGCCAAAATTATTTACAAATCCTAATAGCTTCAGCCATGTTATGCAGTGGAGACATGAGTACTTCAAAAATCTACTGGACCAACTAGTGGAACCAGTGCCTGTAATTTCACCAACGCCCTTCCCCTTCAAAACCGGAATACAGTAATGCTCACATTACACCTTGGTGGTAGAAATAGGAAAGTACTTACATGGACGAACTTTTTCACAAGAAGCTCCACTGCTACTAAACCTACCTAACTTAGGATTAAAAATATTAACATATATTATTAAAGAATGATCCCCACACTAGCCTACGAGTATCTCCAATATATGAACCGAACCAAATACGAATAACCATTACATATGCGGCTTACAGCATCAAAATTTAATTAAAAGAGAGAAAATAATAACAAAAATTAATTAAAATAATGCGTGCGCAGTTTAAAAAAAAAAGACTAGTTTAGTGCAAGTGGGCAAGACTTTATTTTTAAATTACATCCTTATTACAACAATAGGTAGTGTGTGAGGGATTTTGGGTATGAGTGTATGTATAAATGCGAGTCTGTACGAGTGGTAACCCTACCACATACACCCGTATGTGCATTTATTAATATAGATTTAGTAGAATTAATAGAAACTGTATTTTAAACGACAATATTATATTCAAAAGTTTCACAAAAGAACTATAGAAAATATAGAATATCAATGTCACAGGGTTACTATAGCTTCTAATAATTACGTTCACCGATTTTGGCGAAATGAATGTTTAAATGAATATTTAATTGTTATTGCAAGAATGTTAGGATCTGATGATGATATATTTAAATAATAAACTTAAAACCACCTTCTGCAAAGTTACATTTTCAACAACGTAAACACGAATAATAGTCAATGACTGACAGGATGCTAAAATTAACTATCAAACTTAACTCGCATGTTATTAGAAACGCAATTATCTATTGTCTAACCACTTTGTGCAGGTAATGAGTTTGCAAGTAGGAATATTGCTCCTTTCACAAAATTCCTGTTACCCAATGTTTATATATAATAGTATAAAGACAATAAATGCTCAACGATTGCTTTAGTGGTTTAATTGGTGAATTCGGATTTGGTCAATGGACTCCGAATAGGTTGGCACACGTCCATAAAATCACACTGTCTCCCAATAAGGTACGCAAAGACAACGAACTTCCGTTTGCTACGATAGTGACATTCTTTTTTCACTTACCCACACTATTATTTATTGTTTACTTTATTTTAACCTTTCTTCAGGATATCCACGATGTGGGTATTCTAATAAATGTGTGTGTGTGTGTGTGTGTGTGTGTGTGTGTGTGAAGGAGGTATTCTAAGTAATAGTGTTTAACTCCTTAGGCAAAAAGAGGGGAGTTATAAGTTTGAAGGCCACAAGGCCTGTGTACCTATACGGCTATATGGAATCCGACTCGGTCGGGCAGCTTATTAATATTTGGCATTCCAAATAATACCTTATAAATCGTAAATCGATTCAATTTATTTTCTTGTATATTCTCTTAAGATCTATTTTGGGGTAATTCGTTCTGCATATGATTTGAATTGATTTCAATCTACAAGTCATTGCCTGCATCGTACTCCACCACTAGAGCAGTAAGAACCGCTAAGACTACGCCAACCCCAACCAGTCTGGTTCCCTTGGGTACAAAAGCAAAACTCCTTGCTAAGAAATTTTCATTTCATATTATACTACAATCAGAAGACTTGCAGTTACTTGCGGTACAGTAATGAGTTTAGTTACTATATCTAAAAGGCAAACGTTGCTATCTTCCTGAGCAGATATCCAGTACACAGCTCTTAATTGACTTTAAGTTCTTCTACTGCTTTATTTCCTATATTATGCGTGTTTAATATACTATTTCCTTCATCCAATACTAGGATAACATCACTTGCGTTTTGTTGTCGTGGCTGTTTTATGTAAGGTTTACATTTACCAACATACCTTTTAGAATAGGTACAGCTCTCCAAACTCCAACAGGGTCCTGTTGACTCAATTGTCCCATTGCAAGCTGCAGCAACACAGTGGGGAGCCCAACCACCACCAGCCAGAAAGTGTACACCACCAGATACGGTACTGCCCCATATTTGAACGCTTCTCTGGGAAGTCGAACTGAGCTTAACAGTGTCAGTGATATGGCCACCGTGCATAGTTGCGTTTTTATGAAGTCGCATATTGATTTTAGTGTCTGAAAAAGAACAAAATACTGTAATTATTAAGGCGAGTCGTAGGAGGAGAAGCGAGAAAAACTGTTTCAATAAAATACAAGAATACACAATATTTATTCTAGATGAAATGGTATAGGTATTTACTATTAAATAAGAGTCTTGTAAAAGTATATGGTACACCTGAGGGTATTGTTTAAAGAATGTGCTAATTCATCACACGATAGACACATTTTTGTACTTTACCCGGTTATGTAAAAACCCCGAAAATAGGTTAAAACGAAAGTTTAAAATGAATTATTTAAGAACAAATATCTAACTTTACACATAATTTTTATATGGAGATATTTCTCTTTAAGTAGTACAGAGAACCTGCTTAATTTTGGTTTTCAACTGAAGCCCTATAGGTATTAAATTCACATATGAAATGAAACTTGAAAATTGCCCAGCAGTTTAACGACACGCCCCGCCGCCCGCTACCCAGTCAGTCAGTTGGATCTGTGTCAAATTTTCTCCGACTGTTCTTATTTCATTCATGTCAACTTTAAGCGCGTGATTGCGGGTCGCGAAACCCCCCCCACCCCCCCTCCTAAAATCTACAATCGTGATCAAATACCACGCCAAATCAGTCACTTAGTTTGTTAATGGATAACACGCTAGTAAACTTTTTTTTCTGTTAATGATAGTTTTGTCGATCGATCTTGTGAAAATGTGAACTTAGAGTTTAAAACATTAAGTTCTTACATCCTGATCACGTCCTTTAAAAGGTTCTGAGATAAAGTCGTGTGGCGTCACATGACCCTTAAACGCTCTCTCTGCGTTCAGATTCTTGATGAGGATTTGCCATCAACGCCACATTGTAGGTTTCTCGAAAATTAAAATTTTCGATTATAACTAAAGATATTTTATTCAGTAGAACTACCGTAAAAAGTATCTTTTACAGTACCCAATATGATAAACAAAAAATATACTAGAATAAAATTTAACAATGAACGATAAATGATAAAGTTAAAAAATGCCTTTCGGAATGTTGACCCCACTCATGGTTCCACTAGTGGGACCAGTAGGATTTTGAAGTACTCAAGTCTCCACTGTATAACATGAGTGAAGCTATTAGAATTTATAAATACCTTTGACTCCACTCCTATCGAAAAAATAATAGCCGTACATGTTGTTCTGGTCGCCGTCATAATTAACAAAGGCAATGATGTCGTAAAAAATGCGTATTGAAATATTTGACATTATATTAATTACATTACACTTAAGTCTCACTATAGTGGCCGTAGAATTCCTTGTGAAAGTACTGCTATCTTACCTATTTCTGCCACCAAGCGAAGTGGTAATGCGAGTATCACTGAGTTGCGGTTTTGAAGGGTTAAGGGTGCTCGTGTAAGTATAGGCACATGGAAATTGTCAACTTATGTCTCAGGATGACGGGCACAGTAGCAATGCTCAACAAACCTTCGCGATTTAAAGCTCTGGCGTGTTGCTTTAAAAAAATGTGAAACATCCTAAAATATCTCCATCCGACTTAATGTGTACCGTAACATCGATTCTAAAAACGTTAAAACCATCCACTGATAACTAACCAACATTTCTAAATCAGAGTTCACCTTGTCACGGTCCAAGCACACCCCTCGTTTCCTGTCTATCGTAATCGAGTGAGCACACGATCTTATTATGTGAATAATATTCTCTGTTGTAATATAAACTTTCAAATGTACAGGTTGTAACAAGAATTTCGATAATCTCCTAGGATCTTACTGTACTTTTTATTCCAGAAACATGAAAATAGATACAATTTTTTCGACTCTCTTTGCTTGGAAAAGCTTTACATGGATTTGTATAGAAAAAGCAATGTTGTGATGCCTGAGCGGTACCTCTGCGTTGTACTACATATACTTAAAGAGCTCTCATGCCAAAAAAGTTTTGATGTTAGCTCCGCCCAAATTTGTAAAACAAATATGTATATGACTGAAGTTCGCGTGACATGCGACAGATGTTGAATTTTGCGCATTAAAAGTACCAAATTCGTTTTAGCGGAATAAGTCTAAAACTAAAGGGATTAAAAAAAATCCGTAGTAACAGTTGTCGATCATGCATAAATATAATTAATTATCTAATTTTTGTCCTAATAACCTGTAGCATTTCGAAGATGAATCGAAAAAATGTGAAAATTAGAGGTCATTTCGTGATTTTTATCTATCGAGGAAACTTTATTGTTTTATGTTTCTGATTAATGTCTATGCTTGAATATATCGTGTAGTTACTCATACAATATTTTATTTTTAACTTTAAAGTGGATATACCCCTCTAAAATCAAATCGAAGATTAGGAATTTTTCCTCTGCTCCCTCTTAAATCATATCTACATGCCATATGGTGCGTTGGAACGGCGCACGGAGACAGAACGCGTGCGTAACGTTGAAGGGGCCAGGAGACGAAGCGGGGAGGGATGCTGCAGTGTTAAGTAAGCGGCGTTACGTTGCAACTTGGCACACTGCATTGCTCGTATGGCACCTGGTGCGTTGAAATCATAACGTTGCGACGAAGCAACGCAGCGACAACGCCCATGTGGCATAGCTCATAGTGTTTTGTAATAATAACCATAATTTCTCAGCTGTTATCAATACAGAACATGTCTCATTTTGCAAAGTCAATTATAATGACTAACATTAACACAATTATTTATTATTTAATGTACAAAGCAAGTTAAACGTATCATATATGTTAATCTTAAAGATTATAAAAATAGGAAAATCGTTTTTGCAGCATTTTCTCAAAATGCACCTGGTGGTAAGCAACATGCTCCATGACAATTGTAATGCCACATAGAGCCACTTAAAGATCTGAGGGTTACTGCCATTGCGCCCGTCACCCCAAGACTTAAGTTGATATGTTTCATATGCCTGTAATATCACCATAAATATCCAACAAAACCGGAACGTTAACGCTTGGCGGCAGTATGAGGTAAAGTGGCAACCCTTCCCTGGACGAACTATTTGACAAGAAGCTCTTGTACAAATATTGCAATTTTATATAACACACTGAATATTTATAAGTAGTATTAAGTGTATCATCAGGCGTATGACCTGTTCGCCCCGTCACTTGATATTGTAAAAAAAAATACAAATATTTCCCCCGAGCCGGGAATTGAACCCGAAACCTCTGCGTGGCAGTCCAGTGTGGTAATCTTTCGGCCACGAAGGCAGTTAAGTTACTACGACTGTTACATATAGGAAATGAAACCATTTTGTCGTATATAAATCGCGTATATTATTTTTTTCAAACAAACCAGAGTTGACTTTGTCAGCCATGACCATGGACCCTATAAAAGACCCAAAATGTTGGTTTGTTTGAAAAATAAATCAAATACACTCGATTTAGATCCGAAGATGTAAAGAAGGACGGCGAAAGCTGACCCAAAATCAACAAAGTGCCGTTCATGGACTTTGCTAGTATAATTTTACGTTTTAGTTTATTAATATAATTTAGTATATTTTTAGAAGTTGGGAACAAAGAAATTGCAAAACTATGTATTTTAGAATAGATACAAGAACCATAGGTTAGGAACTTGTACGTACGTTTATTTTAAGCATGGTTGAATGTTTACCTACCTAAATTGGTTATTTTATGGTACACACATAAAACATTAAAAATATATAATCTCAGCACAGAGTACTAAAAAAACCAACCTCAAAAGTACGTGGAATTACGTCTATTTGCTAAGTTTTATTGAAATATCCCCTAGTTCGCCACTATACAGGACTTGACACTGGAGATAATAAAAATCGGTTCTCACTGCTCAAAGTATAGTGAGAGAAAAACACCTTGAATTGGAGAAATAGCAAAATCAACAATTAAAGTAATTGCTCCTAAATTAATGTTAGGCGTTATTCAAGAAAATGAATCTTCATGCGTGAACAGCCACCCTTCGAGGTGGATGATTTTCTTCAAAATTACATGGGACCACTATGGAAGTACCCCCTTTCCAACAAAAAAAGAATCATGAAAATCGGTTCACAAATACCGGAGTTATAGCGTAACATACATACAAAAACAAGAACATACAGTCGAATTTTTAAACAGGCAAATGTTTGCAATTTGGGTAAAATTAAAACATACAAATATTGTATTAAATGTGCCAGAGTTTAGCATATTTAGGAATATTCAGCAAGTTCTTTATTATTTTTAGGAACAAACTGAATACTTGTTGTTTTTTGGTACTACGAATATACATCTGAAGCGAAATACAGGACAATGTTATAAACATAACTTACTTATATCAAGTTTATAACCGCAGCTTCCACAGGCTGTACTCAATTAGCTTTTTTGATGCTTTGATAATGAATCACATGTATTGATAGGTCTCTTTAATGCATGCAAAAACACTGGGTCATAAAATGCACGGGATGTCGCCATCCTTCTTTATATTCCCTAAAGTACCATAATATTTGAAACTTTATAAAGCATAAGCGTTTTGACTACATTTTGCTAACGCTGATCATTGATTAAGTACATGTTGTATCCTATAGACCTATGACCCGAAGGGACAGGTAACCTCATGTAATTAATTTCAACGTGACCTCGTTGTACTTAATTAGACCTTATAAGGAACAAGTTGTTATACTAATAGCTTGATTATACGTAACGGGTACAGTAACATTATTCTGATTCAAGGTTGTGAGAGTAGCGCAGATGGAACGTGTTCTTACGGATTTTGAATTTGTGGCGATCGGTTGTGTGCTGGTGAAATTACATATTTGTAATTTAAAGCTCTCAGTGGCACTGCAACTGTTAAAAAGCATACAATCTACGCATTTGCCAAATATAATTAAAAAATCGGGTCAGGGTAAGAAAACTAACAATTCTATATTGTCCCGAGTCTGGATGTTTGTGGTGGCAAATCGTGTGCCCAAGAAACTTATAAGCATCTTGAGTATGCCTGATGGTAAATTACACACAACAATATGAGAGGCAATGCGACTACGCCCGTCACCCTCAGACATAAGTTGACAAGTCCC